TGAACCTAAAAGTGAGGAGCCGAGCAAATACGAAGTTGTGTGGGTCGTAATGTCATGTGTTCTCTGGTTAGTGTTAGTAGGCAAACTCGGCGAACATGTTCGTGTAACAAATTCGTCTGTGGATAGCTCCTATAATGCATACATATGTGTGTAGTTACCTTTGGCATTAGTGATTATATGTATATAAATAAAAATCTTAACCATCTGAGAATATGTATATCGAATATGTATATCATTTTTATCAAGCTCTAAGTTCTACGTACATATGTCAACTGTATTATATGTTTCACAATAAGCCCATTTACATGTAAAACCTTTTCAAGCCCAAATATGTGTGAAAAACAGGCCTTATTTACGGATGCATTGTTATTGAATATTTCAAAAAACTCGCTCTTTACTGGTTTGTTATAATAATAAGAATTACCTTTTATACATGCAGCTAACTGTTTATTATTTTTAGCTATTGGCAGTCAAGCTTTTTTCCTTAGAAATAGCTCGGTAATACGCGTAACAAATGAAATGAATTATAAAAAAATACATGGCTCTGTATGTAACCCAAAATGTGACCTTACAGGTTTGCTATTAATTTACGCCGAGAATGAGTTTTCTCTTTATGAATATGATCTAAGTCCTAAAGAAGTCTTCACATTAATTTATCAAGGTGAGACAAAGGACTGGATCAATGCAGCTATTTTTATAAAGAACGAAGAAGGTTGTCAATTTGCCTTACACATGGCTCACAGTGCGCTCCTGCGTTTACAATACAATAACACGAGTAATATGCAATTTGGAGAATGTAGTATATTAGAACTAGCGAGGTGTACTGATTATTCTATGTTATATAGCACAAGTTTATATGGTAACAGTTACACCAAGCTTATTATAATAAGTGGAAATGGATTTGGAGAAATACTCATTTGGCAGCCACATTCCCCTGTTAATTTTAATATTAGTACACGTTCTATCATATATCCACTTCTCATGCGTCTCAAGGCGCATAATGGTGTTGTGTTTTCTATTGACTTCAATTTAACAGCTCAGTTGTTAGTAACTACATCGGATGACCGTTCTTTAAAGTTTTGGAAATTAGTAACTAATTTAGAAATAAAATTTGATGCGCTATTGTTAAAACCCTTATTCAGTTGCTTTGGACATACTGCACGTGTCATGTGTGCTATAATTGCAGAGTACGGTAAGTACACTAATAACTTTACTAAATAGCTACATTAAATTAATCATTGTATTTTATAGAAGATCAAGTTTTTGTTATAAGCGGTGGTGAGGATTCTAATATATGTGTTTGGAGTCAAAGAGGTGAAATGTTATTTAAACGACGTCAGCAGTTTGGAGCACCGGTATGGCGGCTTGCTTTTGATTATTTTTCTGCAAACCTGTATAGCACTGGTTCAACTGGAAATGTTAATGCATATAATCTAAAAAGCATATTAAGTCCAAATCAAGCCCTTCCAGTGCAGCTAATGGATATGAGCCCATCTAATGAATATCTGGTAAAAATTAAATACCTTACTATGAGCACCATTGTTGCCCTGAGCAATAAAAATAATCTTTTCTATATGCGACTTATGAATTCGCAAAAGAGTCAAATTTGGGAACCAGTTTCCATTTTTCCTTCATATAAATGCACAGTTTTAGCAACATGCAACGGATTAATTGCCACTTGTGGCTATAAACGTATTACACTTCTAAACTATAACGTGGATACAGGGTATATCGAACAACTTTATGATGGAATTAAACTTGAAGGTCTTATTCAATCATTTCATTTTCTTAGCAAAGACCTTTATTTAACATCTGATGAATATGGAAATTGCCTTTTACTGAAAGGAAGTAAAATGGAAGTTGATGGTAGTATTAATATCAGCACTTGTCGTAAATCTTGGATTACATCTGCAATACTTGTTAACTCAAATTTGTTAGTAATGAGCTGCCGTAATGGAAAAGTTATGATTGTCTCACGTGAAAGCTCACCACAATTACAAATAAAACATGTGCTTAAGGGCTTGCATGGTAGCTTGGGCTCAATGGTTCTTAAACTTTTAAGGATTGATGAAAAATATGCATACATAATAAGTGCTGCGCGTGAATCCACTTTCAAAGTTATGTGTTTAAGCCTAAATGAATATAGATTAAAAGTTTTACAACGTCAGACGGTACCGTTAACATGGATAGAAGCCATACCAACATTAGATATACTGATTGGATTCAATGATAACCATCTTGTGGTATGGTCCCATAAAAATGACGTGATTTTACAATTGCAATGCGGGGGTGGTCATCGCTGTTGGGATTATCAGTTAAACAATGATGTACTTGACATAATATATATTAAACAAAAACATGTATTTCATCACCGTGAACAGCTTTACAATAAATGGTCTGGAGCCATATCTCAGACTTTCCGAAATAAATGGCATATAAAAAATTGTAATATTGTACAAATACTTGAGCAAAAAAATTATTCTCGGACATATATTGTATCCGCTGGTGATGATAATATTATAAAAATAAGTCGATTCATTGGTCAATCATTCCACCTGTGTGCTGAATTGCATACGCACATCTCAAGCGTACGACATTTAGTATTATATCCTGTTAATTCGGAAAATTATGGTATCTATTGGCTAATCTTCTCAGTTGGAGGGCGGGCGCAGCTATGCGTTAATAAAATTGACCCCAATGGACCAGTCGTAAGTGAACTGTGCTCGCACACTGTCCGATTAAACAGTGACGGCAATAACGCCTTACTTGATGCTCGACTAATGGCAATTAACGTTTTACAAAACTCTAAGTGCGGGACATTTTCTCTTTACGTTGCCAGTGCTGACGGAAAAATCCGTTTGCTTCAATGGCAACTAGAAAACCCGTCACAACTCTTATTGGATCGCGTTATTGATATCAAACGATGTCCGATACAGATACAGGCTTTAAGTAATCATAATTTATTTCTTATCACAACCACTAATGGAATGATCTACGGTTTTGACAAAACACTCCGTTTAAAACGATTTGAACAACAGTTACATGCTGCCAGTATCAATGCTCTTGAAACTCTTTTTGATGGTTCATATTTACACATTTTAACTGGAGGAGACGATGAAGCGATAAAACACACCATAATTGAAACAACTGACTTAAGTATTTTACAAAGCGCTAAAATCTCTCTGGTACACAATGCTCAAATAACTGCAATGACCTTACACTCATTAGAGGACGCTTGTCAAAACGCAGAATTGTATGCATATACATGTAGCATGGATAAACAAATATATAAGTTAAACCTAAAAACCTTACAGCACACCCGTATTGGTTTTACATGCTTATCCGATATAAAAGGAATTCTTAAAACGAATCAGTGCTTATTGGTTTACGGATGTGGACTAGAAGTAATCGCTCTCGAAAATAATTAAATCAATATAATTAAACTAACACTAATATGCGTGTGCGTTTATTCGACTCCTTAGTATTAGTAATATGTTGTATAAATATATATTTTGTTCAACATTGGAATTAATCGTTTTGTAAGATGGTCAAATGAGTGGAGCGATGCAGAGTTAAATTTTGACTGAATACTTTATTCAGAAAAATGTATTAAGCTCTAACAATATTGTCTTAAGCTGCGCACTTGTGCTAACAGTGCCGCCGATAGCGGGGCGGCTGTCTTATATATTTCTTATATAATGTTACATATGAGTCATTGGGTCAAGTATGCTGACACTCCGCATAGACTATAAGCACTAACCAGACAACACATAGACTAGACAACTAGTGGAAAGCTTTTTGCACGC